GGAAAGCATAAGTTAAAGTGAGGAAAATCCTTAGCTACCACATTAGGAAGTCAATAAAAATGACTAATAATAAATACATATAAATACATTATTTAGATATATGGTTATAACCACTATAAAAATATTAAAACTGATTCTTTTTAAAGATATATCATGTCTATGTAAGATAATATTTATTATTTAAATATTATTTAAATGTCTATTATTTTTAAATAGGAATTTATTCCTTAATGTCTATTATTTCTATAGATTCCATGTAATTCCAATACAAATTTTAGCAGGCTTTTTGTAAAAATTGACAAGTCGATTCTATGCAAAGAACCTAATCAATCTTGGAGATGAATAACAAAGCTAGAGGATTTACAATATTAGACGTCAAGATTTAATTAAGACAGAGTGATACTGGCATCTGGATAGACAGATGGGCCAATGAGATAGAATAAAGAGTTCAGAAACAGACCCTCACATGTACAGTTACCTGACTTATGACAAAAGCATCACTACAATCTAGTAAGGAACAGATAGTCTTTTAAACAAACAATACTAGGTCAATTGGATATCAGTATAAAAACAAATGACATGATCTCACACCACCCATAAAAATTATTAAAGATGGAAAAACAATAGTTTCTAGAAGAAAACACAGAATTATTTTATGAATTGGGAGTAGGCAAAAGTTCTTTAAGTATAACACAAAAGCATTAATCTTTAAAAAAAGACTAATAAGTTGAACTTCATCAAAAGAAAAAACTTGTATTCAACAAACAACTCTATTAAGAGACTAAAGCCACATACTACAGCAAGGTATTTTGTATGTGCAAACACACACACACATACACACACATATACACATACATACATGTCATATACATAGTCACTCATATGATGCATGTATATAAATAACCAGAGCCCAAATCCAGAAGATATACATAATTCCTGCAACCCAGTTTTAAAGATGGACAAAAGACTGGAACGAACACCTAACAATAGAAAATATACAAATGATTGGTAAAGATATGAAAAGGGGCTGAAAATCATCACTCATCAGGGCGATGCGAATTTAAACCATGCTGAGATGCTGCTACAGAATAGCTGGAATTTAAAGGGCTGACAATCCCAAGCATGAGTATTTTTGGGATTTGTGTCCCCCCAAAAAGCTATGTTGAGGTCCTAACCCTCAGCACCTCAGAGCGTGACCTTATTTGAAAATACAGTCTTGATAGAGGCAATCAAGTTAAAATGAGATCATTACAGCAGGCCTTAATGAAACATGACTGGTGTTCTTATAAAAAGCGGAAATGCGGACAGAGATGGACATACACAGGGAAACCTATAATGAAGAGACACAGGGAGAACATTGAGTGAAAGCAGAGGATTTGCAGTGATGAATTCATAAGCCAAAAAAACCAAAGATTGCTGGCAAACCACTAGAAGCTTGGAGACAGGTATGGAACAGATTCTCCCCCACCAAGTCCTCAGAAAGAACCAACTTGCCTGACTCCTTGATTTTGGACTTCTAGCCTCCAGAACTGTGAGACAATAAATAACCAGTTTTAAGCCAATCAGTTTGTAGTATTTTTGTACAGGAGCTCTAAGACACTAACACAGTGGGGATCAATTGGGATTCTCATACATTGATGGTAAGTGTGTAAATTGAAGAGAGTAAATTTTCAAACCGTTTTGAAAAACTGACAGGATCTAACAAAACTACACAGGCATATTTCCTATGGCCCAGCAATTCTACAACTGAGTCTATAACCAACAGAAATAAGCACTTATATCCATCAAAAAACATACACAATGTTCATAGTAGCATTATTTATGGTAGCCAAAAAACAGAAACAACTCAAATATCTATTAACAGTAGAAGGGATAAACTGTGGTATAATCATTTTAAAGAAATATTAAAAAGCAGTGGAAAAGAATGAACTACTGATACATGTAACAACATTGATAATCTTAGACATCACATGAGTTTTAGAAAAAGGCCAGATGCAAAAGAATCCATACTGTAACACTCTATGTATATGGAATTCACAAACAAAACTAATATATGGCAATAAAGGTTCAACTTTGGAGAGTATTTCCTGAGGTGAGGGGGACATAGGGAAACGTTCTGGAGTGCTATAAATGTTCTCTATCTTAATCTGAGTAGTAGATATATTTATACATCTGTAAAAATTTTTCAAGATGTTAAGATGTATGTACTTTACTTATGTAAATTATATCTCAGTAAATGGCAAAAAAAAATCATTTCCCCTGGAAGTCAAATTGATGCATGAGAAGGATAAAACCAGAGCCATCTCTGGTTGTCTTTTGTTTAAAGTCCTTTGGTTACATTTGATTTTTTATTTCTTAATACATCATGTTCATTAATTAATTTGATATGAAATAATCAAGACAAAGTAAATATGTATTATATAATTTT